CTTTTTGGGAAATATACAGGAAGGATTAAGAGGGTACTGCTGTTTGCTTAGATCCGATCAAACTTTTTCTCTGATTTGTAAATTGGAAGAAAGAGAGGGACAGAATGGGTATAGTGTTTACGCGGTTGTTTTCATCGCTGTTCGGGAACAAGGAAGCTCGGATCCTAGTATTGGGGCTTGACAATGCCGGAAAAACCACAATTCTATGTATGCATTCTCTGTTTTTGACGTACCCTTTAGAGGAATTCCTCTGATGTTTTCCTGGTTTCTTAGGAATCGATGATCATAATATTCTTTTTACGTTTTTCTAATATATGCAGATCGGCTTCAGATGGGTGAAGTAGTCTCCACTATTCCCAGTTAGTTGTCTTTTTTATGGCCTTGCATTTATATTAATTCAAATACAATACGATGAATGCTATTATTATACTCATAATATTTGCTGAAGGTAAAAACTGGAGCTTGTTATTTCCTTGTCCTTGGTTATGTCAGTTGGTTTATTTTATTTTCTTTCCCTTTGACTGCAGCAATTGGATTTAATGTGGAAACGGTACAACATAACAACATAAAGTTTCAAGTTTGGGATCTAGGTATTTTATCATCATTCAACCTATGATATTATTCTCTTCATATCTCAAAGTTAAGTTGGATTGACTTATTTGTTGGTGAAATGAAAGGCACGAAAGGTGCCAATGATTCTCTGAGCCTTTCTTTGTGTTCTCACTTGGACATGCAGATTTATTTATTAATGAAAGCATATTTGATGCTAGTCATTTTCCTTCCAAGCATCTTTTGTTGAATTGTTACCCCTGAAAAGTGAAGCGTCTACAGTTCGTTGGGCTTCATTATTTTTGTTTCTGTTGTGGAGTTATAACAAGGTTGTTTAGTTTTAGATTTGACATGAATATTATTTCCTTGAAAACTTTGCAGTCTATTTTCCGGTCTAAATATCCTGATCATTAGCTCATTTTAGCTTGTATATCCTTTAGTTGTTTGACCATTTAGTTTCAAGAAATTTCTTAGGTCTATTCGGTAGTGATTATGAGAATTGATTTTTTAACCGTTAGAGAGAAAAGTGGGTCCACCTGTGAGTGAAGAAGTCAAAAATGACGGTTGGAATAATGAAATTATGTCAAAAAATTAATTTTTGGGGTGAAAAATTGCTAACAAACGGGGGCCAATTGTTATCACTGGTCATATATGCAAGTTTCAATTTTTTTATTATTATATTTTTTTTAGTAATGTTAATCCTTTCTTTGAGGTAAAAAAGACATTATTATGAAGTTTTTGTCTAATATGTAAGTTTTTCTTTGCTAATGGCAGGTGGACAGACGAGTATTAGGTAAACTTACCTTGAGCTCTTTGCTTCTTTCAAATATAAAATTATTTGCCTTGAGAATTAGCACAGCAGCATATGCTGCATAATGTTTCATATGCCATGCTTGCTGATTGATCATGCATTTTGTGTTCCGTAAATTATTATTATTTTTTTCGGAGAAATAGAGAAGCTACGAGTAATAGCCAAATAATTTTGTCCTGCTTGTCTCATATGTCTGGTTACCATGGAATCTTTGACGTCTTTTTTCTGTTTGACCTTGGTCCTTTTTTACCTTCTATTATTTATTTATTACATGATATGAAATCTGTGATTATATAACTTATATTTAGATTTTATATGGTTTTCTAGACTCAATAATCCTAACTTGGTATTTGGTCTTTTTTTTGCCTTTTATTCTATATATTTCCTCATGTATTCAATCTATGATATGACGTAAATCTGTAAACTGGATCATGAATTATTTTTCTAGGTTTAATAATCCTAACAAGGAGAAAAAATTGTTTCCAGGGTTGCAATTTATATGGAATATGACTAGGTCTATTGATTGAATAATTTAAGATTAAGAAATCTGCACAAAAAATGACCTTATGTCATTTGTTCTGTTTACCTAGGAACAAGATAAAACAGTAATAAGGCAGAAATTTAGGTGTACATGAGAAAGTTGAAAAGTAGTCTACTGTGGGATCTCAAATTGCAAGATCTACTTGCTATTTCTTATCCTGAAGTTTAGTTTTCTGTATCATCCTTAAAATAAATTAATTATCTTTTTGGTGAAATGTCATATCCAGTTTTTGTAAAAGAAAAAGGGAAAAAATAAACTGCGGTAGCGAAGTAGAGACTCGTAACACTAGGATCCCTCATACATTAGTAGTAAAATTTGGAACTTGAAAAAAATGGACACAAGAAAAGAGCAATAGACCAATCGATCCTACAAAAAGGATTCTATTGTGGTTAATAAAATTCGTTGCAATCAACTTATGTCATTTGTTAAGATGGAAATATGGGGTAGTGTGATAGGACCTGCTTAGACCGAGAAAATTAACTCGCCCAAACGCAACAAATTCAGCTGAATTAAACCTTACACAATTAGAATTTAAGAAGAATTTATTTGATTGAACAAGAAACTGAACAACGGACTGAATTGAAAAGAAATAACAAGCCAAGTTTCGAGAGCTGCCCTTTTCCTAATGATTCAGATCTTTCCTCTTTTCTGAGTGAATATTCAAGCACTCTCCTACACTATTTATATACTTATAAAAACCTTGACTCAACAGATCTAACGACTAATATTCCCTTTAACTTCCTTCCACGCTCTTCTTGTGATGTCGTTGATAAGTGAATCGTGTGGGAGGCTTATTAACCCGTCGCCAAAGAAAGCATCTTGTCCCCAAGGTGGAAATCAGGAAACTAAGAGTTGATAAGCTCAAATGGTTCCCATGATGCTTCAAAAGGGGAGAGGTCCTGCCACTGAATCAGTACTTCCGGCCCTTCATTGCTTGGCTTACTTGGTGGTCTAATCCCCAACACCTCCCGCATGTTCCTTCCATTTTAGCTCTGGGTTGAGAAGTGTGGGGAGGGGTTGGATGGAAGTGGTAGAGCCCACAGCCTTCCTCAACTGCGAAACATGGAATATCGGATGTATGTTTGACTCTGATGGTAGTTGGAGTTTGTAAGCCACAACTCCTACTTTTTGGAGGATAACAGAAGGACCAAAGAATCTGGGAGATAATTTTTCATTAGCACACTGAGCCAAGGACCTCTATCTGCATGGTTGGAGCTTCAAATAAACCAGATCACCTTCTTGAAATTGATTTGCTCTTCTCCCACTGTCTGCCACCTTCTTTATCCTCGATTGAGCTTTCTCTAACTGTGACTTCAAAACGCCAATCATCTCATCATGTTGCTGTAATTGTTGATCAAAGTCAGCCAAAGGTGTGTGTTGTGATCCATAGCGTATGACAGGAGGAGGATCCCACCCATAAACAACCTTAAAAGTAGTGGTTTTATTGGAGATGTGAAACGATGAGTTGTACCAAAATTCCGCCCAAGGAATCCATTTAGATCACAAACGAGGATGGTTGTTAGCGAATCACCTTGGGTAGGTCTCCAAACAACGGTTCACCACCTCCATTTACGCATCCGTTTGGGGATTATAGGCCATGCTTCGACTCAGTTTAGTGCCCTAGAGACGGAAAAGTTTGGACCAGAATAAGCTGAGAAAAACCTTATCCCCATCCGTCACTGTTAAGCGGGGGAACCCATGAAGTTTTACGACCCTTTGAATGAATAATTCAGCCACCGTCTTAGTAATAAAAGGATGCTTCAATGTAAAAAAATGTGCGTATTTACTCAGTCGATCCCCCACTACCAAAATTGTATCCCAGCTTTGAGATTTCGGCAACCTTTCAATAAAATCCATTGCTATGCCCTCCCATATTGCTTCCGGTATAGGTAGGGCTAAATACTTAAACAGAGCAAGCTTCCACAAACTTCTGGATATCTTTTTTCATTCCTATCCAAAATAGCTCCTTGGACAGTCGTTTATAAGTGTTCAATACACTCGAGTGGCCGCCTAGAGCACTGCTGTGGAATTCATGGAGTAACCTGGGTATTAACTCTGAACCCCTAGGCAAAACCAACCTTTGTTTGTACAGGAGACACCCATCAACCATTGACCAATCTTCAATAGACATGGGATATTTAAGTAATGCTTCCCGAATACCAACCAACCTCTCAGCACCCCTATCCGAGCCTGTAAGTCATCCAAATCTAGCACCTTTCGTATGGTCATGATTGATAGATCTGCTGTTCCTGGAAGTCGGGACAGGGCATCTGCCACCTTGTTCTCGAGGCCGGACTGACATTGAATCTCAAAATCATAGTCCAACAGCTTCTGACCCATTTCTGATGCTCAACACGAACCAGTCTCTGCTTTAAAAGAAATTTCAGACTCTTTTGATCAATATGCACGATGAAGCACCTCCCCAGCAAGTAATGTCTCTTCTTTTGGATAGCTAGGACTATAGCCATGTGTTCCCTATCATAAATGGATTTAAGTAGAACCCGTGTTGATAAAGCCTGGCTGAAAAAAGCTATAAGCCTATGTTGTTGAGATAATATAGCCCCTAAGCCAACTCTCGGAGCATCTGTCTCCACTACAAAAGGAAGAGAGAAATTGGGTAGTGCCAAAATCGAAACCTTTGTCATGGCATCCTTATTCCTTCAACTTTTGAAAGGCTGTATCGGCTTCTTGATTCCAGTGAAAATTATCCTTCTTCAATTGTCTAGTGAGGCGTTCTGCCAACTTTCCATATCCTTTGACAAACCTTCGGTAATACCCTGTTAACCCCAAGAACCCCCTTAATCCTTTAAGGTTCATAGGCAACGACCATGACTGCATGTTCTAAATTTTCTTTGAGTCGGCTGAGACTCCTTGGGAACTGATTAAGTGCCCCAAGTATTCCAAGGTGGTGCGACCAAATTCACATTTCTTTCGATTTGCATACAACTTCTGCTCCTATAAGACCCCAAGCACTGTTCTTGAGTGTTCACAATGCTCCTCCAACGTCCGGCTGTAAACTAGTATGTCATCAAAGAAAACCAATACACATTTTCTTAACAATCCCTTGAACACTTTATTCATCTAGGATTGACATGTTGCCAGTACATTAGTAAGCCCAAACGGCATTACTAAAAATTCATAATGCCCCTCGTGAGTTCGAAAGGCTGATTTGTATTAATCTCCAGCCTTAAGGCGTATTTGATGATAACCTGAAATCTGATCCAATTTGGAAAAAAATGGTGGCGTCATGTAGCTCATCTAGCAACTCGTCAATAACCGGAATTAGGAAGTGGTCAGGTATGGTGGCTTGATTTAAAGCTCGATGATCCACATAAAATTTCCATCCCTCGTCTTTTTTCTTCACTAGCAGTACCGGACTGGAAAAAGGGACTACTACTTGCTTGGATTGTGCCTGCCTCCAGCATTTCGGTTACTAGTTTCTCGATCTCAGCCTTTTGTGCATGGGGATATCTATAGGGCCTAACACTAATGGGTTCACTGCCTTCCTTTAGGGTGATTGCATGCTTATGACCTTGCAGAGGATGTAGGCCTACTGGTGACTCAAAGACAACCATATACTTTGCCATTAACTCTTGCACCGGCAATGGAATGTCCGAATTAGCTGGCTACCCTCCACCCGCACCAAGCACAGCTCCACTACGATTCCTTCACCCTCCTTATGTAAAGTTTTGGTCATTGATTTTAGTGAGACCAATTATTTGCTTAGCCCTTCTTCTCCTTTTAATGTAACAGTGCTATTCCCCAGAGGCATTTTCATCTTCAATGACTTCCAGTTAACTTGAACCGTGCCAAAGGTGCTAAGCTATTGCATTCCCAGTATTATATCCAAGCTGCCCAAGTCTATAGGTAAATAGTCCTCCACCACTAATACGGACTGCATGTATAATCCTACTCCCCTACATTTCCCTTTTCCCTTAACTACCATACCAGTACCCACTTGTACCCTATATCCATTGGTCTTTGTTATTGGTAGATTGAGCTTCCTAATCAATTCCCA